TTATCAATTTTGTTTTTCTTCTCAAAGAACCAGCTTTTAGTTTTATTGGTCTTTGCTATTTCCTTTATTTCTTTTTCATTGATTTCTGATCTGATCTTTAAGATTTCTTTCCTTCTGCTAACTTTTGGGGTTTTTTTGTTGTTCTTTCTCTAATTGCTTTAGGTGTAAGGTTAGGTTGTTTATTTGAGATGTTTCTTGTTTCTTGAGGTAGGATTGTATTGCTATAAACTTTGCTCTTAGAACTGCTTTTGCTGCATCCCATCAGTTTTAGGTTGTCATGTTTTCATTGTCATTTGTTTCTAGGTATTTTTTGATTTCCTCTTTGATTTCTTCAGTGATCTCTTGGTTATTAAGTAGTGTATTGTTAAGTGTCCATGTGTTTGTGGTTTTTTACAGGTTTTTTCCTGTAATTGATATCTAGTCTCATAGTGTTGTGTTTGGATAAGATACTTGATACGATTTCAATTTTCTTAAATTTACCAAGGCTTGATTTGTGACCCAAGATATGGTCTATCCTGGAGAATGTTCTGTGCGCACTTGAGAAGAAAGTGTATTCTGTTGTTTCTGGATGGAATGTCCTATAAATATCAATTAAGTCCATCTTGTTTAAAATATCATTTAAAGCTTATGTTTCCTTATTTATTTTCATTTTGGATGATCTGTTCATTGGTAAAAGTGGGGTGTTAATGTCCCCTATGATAGTGTTACTGTCGATTTCCCCTTTTATGGCTGTTAGCATTTGCCTTATGTATTGAGGTGCTCCTATGTTGGAGGCATAAATATTTACAATTGTTATATCTTCTTCTTGGATTGATCCCTTGATCATTATGTAGAGTCCTTCTTTGTCTCTTGGAATAGTCTTTATTTTAAAGTCTATTTTGTCTGATATGAGAATTGCTACTCCAGCTTTCTTTTGATTTCCATTTGCATGGAATATCTTCTTCCATGCACTCACTTTCAGTGTGTATGTGTCCCTAGGTCTGAAGTGGGTCTCTTGTAGACAGCATATATACAGGTCTTGTTTTTGTATCCCTTCAGCCAGTCTGTGTGTGTCTTTTGGTGGGAGCATTTAATCCATTTACATTTAAGGTAGTTATCGATATGTATGTTCGTATTACCATTTTCTTAATTGTTTTGGTTTTGTTATTGTAGGTCTTTCTCTTCTCTTGTGTTTCCTGCCTAGAGAAGTTCATGTAGCATTTGTTGTAAAACTGGGTTGGTGGTGCTGAATTCTCTTAGCTTTTGCTTGTCTGCAAAGGTTTTAATTTCTCCATCGAATCTGAATGAGATCCTTGCTGGGTAGAGTAATCTTGGTTGTAAGTTTTTCCTTTTCACCACTTTAAATATGTCCTTCCACTCCCTTCTGGCTTGCAGAATTTCTGCGGAAAGATCAGCTGTTAACCTTATGGGGATTCCCTTGAATGTTATTTGTTGTTTTTCCCTTGCTACTTTTAGTATTTTTTCTTTATATTTAATTTTTGATAGTTTGATTGATATGTGTCTTGGCATGTTTCTCCTTGGATTTATCCTGTATGGGACTCTCTGTGCTTCCTGTGCTTGATTGACTATTTCCTTTCCCATATTAGGGAAGTTTTCAACTATAATCTCTTCAAATATTTTCTCAGTCCCTTTATTTTTCTCTTCTACTTCTGGGACCCCTATAATTCGAATGTTGGTGCGTTTATTGTTGTCCCAGAGGTCTCTGAGACTGTTCTCAATACTTTTCATTCTTTATTCTGCTCTGCAGTAGTTGTTTAAACTATTTTATCTTCCAGGTCACTTATCTGTTCTTCTGCCTCAGTTATTCTGCTGTTGATTCCTTCTAGAGAATTTTAAATTTCATTTATTGTGTTGTTCATCATTGTTTGCTCTTTAGTTCTTCTGTGTCCTTGTTAAACGTTTCTTGTATTTTCTCCATTCTATTTCCAAGATTTTGGATCATCTTTACTATCATTACTCTGAATTCTTTTTCAGGTAGACTGCCTATATCCTCTTCATTCGTTTTGTCTGATAGGTTTTTACCTTGCTCCTTCATCTGCTGTGTGTTTCTGTGTCTTCTCATTTTGCTTATCTTACTGTGTTTGGGGTCTCCTTTTTGCAGGCTGCTGGTTCGTAGTTCCCATTGTTTTTAGTGGCTGCCCCCAGTGGCTAAGGTTGGTTCAGTGGGTTGTGTAGGCTTCCTGGTGGAGGGGACTAGTGCGTGTGTTCTGGGTGGATGAGGCTGGATCTTGTCTTTCTGGTGGGCAGGACTGTGTCTGGTGGTGTGTTTTGGGGTGTCTGTGACCTTATTATAATTTTAGGCAACCTCTCTGCTGATGGATGGGGTTGTGTTTCTGTCTTGCTAGCTGTTTGGCATAGGGTGTCCAGCACTGTAGCTTGCTAATCATTAAGTGGAGCTGGTCTTAGCGTTGAGATGGAGATCTCTGGGAGAGCTGTCTCCATTTGAATTTACGTGGAGCCAGGAGGCCTCTGGTGGTCCAGTGTCCTGAACTGGGCTATCTCACCTTAGAGGCTCAGGCCTGACACCCGGCCAGAGCACCAAGACCCTGTCAGCCACGTGGCTCAGAAGAAAAGGGAGAAAAAGAAAGAAAGAAAGAAGAGAAAAAAAAATAAAATTATTAAAATAAAAAATAAAAAAATATGATTAAAAATAAAAAAATACTAATTTTTAAAAAAAAGAAAGAAAGAAGAGAGCAACCAAACCAAAAAACAAATCCACCAATGATATCAAGCACTAAAAACTATACTAAAAAATAACACAAACAAAAAAATAACGGGCAGACAGAACCCTAGGACAAATGGTAAAAGCAAAGCTATACATACAAAATCACACAAAGAAGCATACACATACACACTCACAAAAAGAGAAAAAGGAAACAATATCTATCTATCTATCTATATATATATAAAAAAAGAGAGCAGCCAAATCAATAAACAAATCTACCAGTGATAATAAGCCCTAAATACTAAATTAAGATAAACATAAAATCAGAAACAAATTAGCTGCAGAAAGCAAACCCAAGTCTACAGTTTCTCCCAAATTGCACCACCTCAAGTTTGGGATGATTTGTTGTCTATCCAGGTATTCCACAGATGCAGGGTACTTGAAGTTGACTGTGGAGATTTAATCCGCTGCTCCCGAGGCTGCTGGGAGAAATTTCCCTTTCTCTTCTTTATTTGCACAGCTCCCGGGGTTCAGCTTTGGATTTGGCCCCGCCTCTGCGTGTAGGTCGCCTGAGGGTGTCTCTTCCCCGCCCTGACAGGATGGGGTTGAAATAGCAGCTGATTAGGGGGCTCTGGCTCACTCAGGCCACGGGGAGGGAGGGGCACGGAATGCGGGGTGAGCCTGTGGCGGCAGAGGCAGGCGTGATGTTGCAACAGCCTGTGGCACGCCATGTGTTTTCCCAGAGAAGTTGTCCCTGGATCACGGGACCCTGGCAGTGGCGGGCTGCACAGGCTCCCGGGAGGGGAGGTGTGGTTAGTGACCTGTGCTTGCCCTCAGGCTTCTTGGTGGCTACAGCAGCAGCCTTAGCATTTCATGCCCGTCTCTCGTGTCCATGCCAATAGCCGTGGCTTGCATCCATCTCTGGAGCTCATTTAGGTGGTGCTCTGAATCCCCTCTCCTCACGCACCCCGAAACAATGGTCTCTTGCCTCTTAGGCAGGTCCAGACTTTTTCCTGGACTCCCTCCTGGCTAGCTGTGGCGCACTAGCCCCCTTCATGCTGTGTTCACACAGCCAACCCCAGTCCTCTCCCTGGGATCTGACCTCTGAAGCAGGAGCCTCAACTCCCAGCCCCCAACCTGTCCCCGCTGGTGAGCAGACCAGCCTCTCAGGCTGGTGAGTGCTGGTTGGCACCGATCCTCTGTGCGGGAATCTCTCTGCTTTGCCCTCTGCACCTCTGTTATTGCACCCCTCTGTGACTCTGACGCTTCCCCCCTGCGCACTCCCCGTCTCTGCCAGTGAAGGAGCTTCCTAGTGTGTGGAAACTTTTCCTCCTTCACAGCTCCCTCCCCTGGATGCAGGTCCCGTCCCTATTCTTTTTGTTGTTGTTGTTGTTGTTTTGTTGTTTTGCGGTACGCGGGCCTCTTACTGTTGTGGCCTCTCCCGTTGTGGAGCACAGGCTCTGGACGCGCAGGCTCAGCGGCCATGGCTCACGGGCCTAGCCTCTCCGCAGCATGTGGAATCTTCCCGGACCGGGGCACGAACCCGTGTCCCCTGCATCGGCAGGCGGACTCTCAACCACTGCGCCACCAGGGAAGCCCCCGTCCCTATTCTTTTGTCTCTGTTTTTTTCTTTTCTCTTTTGCCCTACCCAGGTACGTGGGAAGTTTCTTGCCTTTGGGGAAGTCTGAGGTCTTTTGCCAGCGTTCAGTAGGTGTTCTGTAGGAGCTGTTCCACATGTAGATGTATTTCTGATGTGTTTGTAGGGAGGAAGGTGATCTCCACGTCTTACTCTTCCACCATCTCGAAGGTCCCTATTTATTTATTTATTTTGGCTGTGCTGGGTCTTTGTTGCTGCGTGCAGGTTTTTTCTTCTTGTGGCGAGCGGGCTACTGTTCGTTGCAGTGTACAGGCTTCTCATTGCGGTGGCTTCTCTTTTTGCGGAGCATGCACTCTAGGTGCACGGGCTTCAGTAGTTGTGGCACACGGCCTCAGTAGTTGTGGCTCTTGGGCTCTAGAGCATAGGCTCAGTAGTTGTGGCGCATGGGCTTAGTTTCTCCACAGCATGTGGGATCTTCCCGGACTAGGGCTCAAACCCTTATCCCCTGCTTTGGCAGGCGGATTCTTAACCACTTCACCACCAGGGAAGTCCTGCTATTATGTCTTTAGAATCTACCTTGATGCAGGGCACTCTGTAGATAATCAGTAATTGCTAAATGAATGAAAAGTAAGTTTCTTAAAATTTTTTTGTGCTGAGAGTTTAAGTGAAAATAAGCCATTTTCATTGTGTGATGTTTAGACCTTTAGAATTTTAGGATCTTATTGCTGGAAAAGCCCTTCAAGATCTCTCCAGCTTCTGTAGAAATGTCTTTGGAGCCATCACTGGAAGAGGGGGTTGGGCAACAGCAACAGAAGGCCTAAGAGAGTGGAGGTGGCTCATCCCGTTTTCCTCACTCCCTTCCAAATACCCCTTAATGGGCAATTCAGCTTTTAAAATGAGAAAAACAAAAACAAAAAACAACAAGAACAAAAACAAACCAACAGTTGGAAAACCATCCATTCAATTCATTGTTATATTTTACATATGAGGACATTGTGGTCCAGAGAAGTTCAGTGAAATACGTTTGTTAATGGCAGTGTTGGAACTATTGTCTAGACCATTTCCAAAAGACAAATGTGATTTTTATATAGTGGTTACTTTAAATTCAGCTGGAAAGCAAATCTTTTTGAACTGTAATTTCTGATATTTCTGTTGCTTCCCATCTCCCATCTTGAAGGTTAATGGCTGCTGGCCCGTGTTTTAAAGTATGATGTATGAGTTTATATATGTCATTTATGTCTCAAGCTAGTCAATAATTAAGTGTTGGTTTGAGTCACTTAAAATTTTTTTTTGTTGTCATGTAGCTTTTCATTTGCATTATTTCATTAATGATTTTGAAAAGAGCAGTCAGAATGGTATTACCTGCTGCCTTGAACAAATATATAACCTTTATTTCAGAACACTTTATTAATCTAGGTGCTGCGTATTTAGGGGCCTAGTGCTTAAAGCAAACAAAGAAATAAAATAAAAACTAAAAATTGCTTTTCTGTGCTAAATGAAATAGAATAATTGAAACATTTAATCATAGGCTCTTGAGATTGCTTTGAAGATTATGCTTATATGTAGCCACTATAGTTTTATATAGAAACCAGTTTTTTTTTTAAAATCAAACTTAATGGCATCCTCTTCTTGAATCATAGATGCAATTCATTTCTTTGGTATGTTGATGGTAGTTTTTTTTTTTTTTTTGAGCAGAGAAAGGTTTATTGCAGGGCTAAGCAAAGAGAACAGGTGGCTTGTGCTGTAAAAAACCCCAAATACCCCCATGGTTTTCAGGGAGAAGTTTTTATAGGCAAAATTTGGGCTGAGGGCTGCAGGGTGTGTGACTTTCTTCTGGTTGGTTGGTGGTGAGGAAACAGGGTGGTGCCCCAGGATTCTTATGCTCAGCCTGAAGTCACCATCCTCCACCTGGGTGGGGTCCCCAGTTCCTGGGTGTATGGCTATTGTCTCCATTCCCTTCACGTCCCAGGGACCCTTCTTTTGCTCCATAAAGGTGACCAGGTCTGGCTTAGAGACAGGACCCAAGGAGACCAGGTTTTTATAGTTCTCTAACATCACATCCCTGTACAATTCCCATTGAGTGCTGTCCAGAAATTCCCACTTATCCTGAGAAAATTCTATGACTACATCCTGGAATGTCAACAGTCCCTGAGAAGCTGCCATTTCCTCCTCTTCTTCGTCTTGTCTGGGTCATTTTCTCATCGATATTACGTTGAGGAATCACATCAGCATCTTGAGGATATGCCTTTGCTCCTAACATACCCACAGGCAGAAAGGATCTTGAAATGCTGAAAAGGTCAACTTTTCCTGTCCTTGTCTCAGAAGATATTCAGGAAAAATCATCTCCTGTAGGGAGACCAAACTATGGATTCATTCTTTCCTGTTTCTAGGTGTTCTCACCTCATATAGATGTCAGGAAATTCTGCTAACACGGGGTATGTGGGCTGTACTGAGTTTCCCCTTCCAAACCCATGTAACAGGAAACCATGTTGCCTCTCCTTGTAATTTATTATTTTTAAGATTTTTCCCCCTCCCTACATGATATTTGTTTCCTCTAAGTTGAGTTTTCTACTGTTCAGTCTGTAGCTTTTATGTTAGCTGCATTCTTTGGATGTCTGATAATTCTGGCTGCTTGTGGTGAAGAGCCCTCCATGCCTTGGTGGATCTTTGTAGATTCTGAGCTTTAACATGGTGTGATTTGGGCAGGCAGGTTTGTTGAGAAGCCCTTATGTTAGTCTCTTTAGAACTTCCTTTTTGGTTTTGTCAGATTCCTCAGAGAAGTATTTTCAAATATTGCCTAGAAGGTAATGGTCTGGCTGCCATTATTTTGTAAACTGAATGGAGTCAGAGCCTGAGTGCTCTGAGTCAAAATGCATATGATGACTTTCTTTTTTTTCCTCTGTCATTTTTCTCACATTCTACTGGCTCACATTAAGCCTGGTGATGGGGTGGAAATATGTAATGTACTAGCAGTGAGGCACCTCATGTCATATGGCAATGAGCAGGGATGTCCTCCTCTTTTAAGGAAGTGATCCAACAGTTGGTAACAACAATACAGTCTGCCATAGAGAGTGTTCCAAATGCAAGAATAATGGGACTCAAGCAGTTTGGTCTTGGCCATACCTCCTCCTATTGTTTTAGGTCAATACCATAGCTTAAGAAAACTTCAGAGACAAAGATTTCTAAGAAGGAATTTGCATAAAGAGGGTGAAATCTCAGTGGCTCTCAAAGGACACCTGGACTTTCTAGGCATACGATGATTTTAATCGCCCATCCTCCTACCCTTAACTGTGCTTGCGTTTTACCTTCTCCAGAGATGAATTCTCTAGCCAGAATTCTGTTGGGGTCGGGGAGAAGCAGTTTTCATCCAATCCTCATTTTAGCCTCCTATCTCCCCAACTCCAGTTATTGAAGAACCAGATGTTTCCAGTTTCTGAGCCTTTTGAGGATTCTGCAGTGTAATTGGGGTTGATTCTCAGCTGTCCGCATTGCGTTCCTGTGATTTGGCTTTCTTAGGTTTACTAGAGTCAACATGTATCCATTTGCTTTCCGATTGACAAAAGTTTGCATTTTTTTTTTTTTGGATTTTCTTCATCCTGGTGCTTTTCATCCTTTAAGAAATACCATTACTATATTTTTATTGGAGTTTTGAGTGAAAGTAAAATTAAATATTTATGTTCATTCTGTCATTTTAACTTCAAGTGCTGAATGTATAACTCACTTGCATTCTCTGGATTACTGGGTGAGGTTGAGCCTTTAAAAAATACTTATTAATTTCCCTTCATGATTCTTGGTATGAGATTGGTGTATGGATTATTCTTCGATGATTTTTCTGTTAGATTGTCTAAAGTTTATCAGTTCTAAAGTTTTACTTTTATATTTGGATTTTTAATCCACCTGGAGTTGATTTTTATATGTAGAGTGAAGTAGTGATTTATTTATTTTTTTTCCCCTACAGAAAACCAGCTCCAGGACTATTTATTGAACAATCCATCCTTTTCTCACTGATTTGTAATGCTAATTCTGTCATATACAATTGATCCTCATTATTTGCAAATTCTATTTTGCAAATTTGGCTACTTGGTAAAATTTATGTTTATGCCTGAAATCGATACTCGGAGCAATTTCTTGGTTAGTCACAGATCTCGGTGGATATGCAGAGGGCACCTAGGTTGAAGTGGAACAAAGCAAAACTCTACCCTCTTGTTTCAGCTCATACTGTAAACGTGTCCTTTTCATGGCCAATTTAGTGCTATGTTTTTGCATTTTTGTCCTTTGGTGATTTTGTTGTTTAAAATGGTCCCCAAGTGTAGTGCCACAGTGCTGTTTAGTGTTCCGGAGAGCAAGAAGGCTTTGATGTGCCTTACAGAGAAAATTTGTTGTCAGATAAGCTTTGTTCAGGCTGTTATAGTGCTGTTGGCTGTGAGTTCAATGGTAATGAATCAATAATATGATACATCCAGAAAAAGGTAGAGGAAGTTATGATCTGTACCTAAGGCTATTCCAAAAAGTGCTGAAGTAACATATATAGTGTGTGATGAAGCTATGGAATCACTATTTAAATTACATTTTAATCTTGAGTCTATCATCTAATTTTAGTATTGTTTTATTTTTACAGTTTAAAACAGAGTGGAAAATTCCCTGGAAATCCCTGGCCTCCCTATAAGAAAAGGACGCCACTCCATCCCAGCTATAAAGGTCTCATGAGACTTTTGCACTGTAAAACTTTACACATTGTGCTATTCACTCTGCTTTACAAGGTACAGTAGTAATTCAAATAGAAAGACTCAGATTAGAATTTATTACCATAATTTGTAAATAAAAGTGCTAAAGGATAATATTTACATAAAAATACTATTTATAAAGTAAAATGTATTTATATGTTTAAGATGTGTGAGGATATGTCATAATCACATATATATGAATTGTATTCTTTATGTAATTTCAAATCTAAGTTGAGAATAACAGCTATACCATTTTTTGGGGGAAACTATTCATATTATCAGTTTCAGATAGGAATTTTTTTTATGGTTTCTGTGCCACAAGAAGTGAAATATTGTGTGAGTACAGGAAGAATGAAATGAACAGTAGGGACCAAACAACCGCCAGAATCCACTAAAATGACAAAAGTAACATGGCAGCCATAGGAGCCAGTGACCCTGTGTTTAGGCTTGTTCTCTTGGCTTTCTTCCTCTGATCAGGAATGTGACATGGAGGGATTTGAATGGGCTCCTAAGTGACACCATTAAGGATTTTCTTTCATTAAATACCTTAGAAACTCAAAAGGTGATGCTTTTACTTTTTTGTTACCTAGAATTTGTTTTATCCTTGGGTCTTCTCACACAGAACGGACTTACTTATTTGGCTAACATTAGTTGTGTACTCAAAAATTGTATACATAATGTCATAGAGTATGTGTATATATATATATAACAGGCATATTTACGTTCTAACCTGGATAAGAAATGAAAGACAAACTATACTCATGTTATATAGGTAAAATAACTATAGACATTTATAAAGTAACTAGACACGATAAACATTATACAGTTAGATACAAAAAAACTATTGTTTCTTCTTTCTAATTAGAATTTGAAAAATTAAAAATTAAATTAAAAAAGTAAGCCTATTTGTTAGGCAAATTTACAATTACTACATATGCATTATTTAAATTACTTAAATTAAATTTAGTTAAGTAGACACTTTAGTTTTTTTCTTGTTTGCTGTGTAAACAAATATAACTTTTAGATTTCTGTACCCCCTATTCTTTTTAACTCTACCCCACGACCAGTTTTTTGTTTTACTTGTAAAAATTACTCCTGTTAAAATTTTAGACATGCGCCTCAAAAAAACATCTTGAATGGTTTATTTTCATTAATTTCTAAGAGAATTATTCAGTAAAATGATTTAAAATGTTCTTTTTTCATTAAAAAAAGTAGAATATTTTTTCTTACTAAAAAGATATTTGTGGTTTTGATTTTTTACAAATAGATTTTTTTTTTGAATGTCTACTTAGTGCCAGATTTTGTTTCAAATACTTTATATACACTTATATACATTACTTTGTTTAATTCTAGGAAACTTCCTTATGAGTGAAAGTTCTGTTGTTATTCTCATTTTTCAGATATGATTTTTAAGTTTTAGAGATTAAATAACTAGTTCAGATAGTGAAGCTAAGTACATATATTGGGTTGGGCAAAAAGTTTCTTTGGGTTTTTCCGTAACATCTTACAGATAATAAATGTCAGTAATTCTTGATTTAAAAATTAAAGAAGCCTACTGCAAATGATTTGTGTCCTTTCAAGTTAAATTTTTTCAACCTTTTTATTTGCTTACTGTAAAAATAATATTTCATCAAAAATAGAAAGGCAATATTGTTATAAGATTATTATGAACAAATTTTTTAAAATCTCAACTTTGTAATAGTTTTCATGACTTTTATGATAGTAGAAGAACCTTTAATTGACATTGCATTGGCAGGTCAACTTTCTAAAAATCAGTGTCAGTAAACCATTTCATCTCCTGCCATGTTTAATATTAAAAAACTTTAATATAGAACATGTTGATAAAAATCCCCAGAAACCATTTTTATTTTTTTTTGTAGTACCTAATAAAGTTTTTTCTTTTCTTAGCCCTTAAGTTGCTCATTTGAAGCTGTAAGATGTAATGCCATAGGATTTCAAGCCAAAATTTATTTGATTTTAGCTAGTAATGCTCTATTTATTAAGAGGAGGCAGAGTAGTAATGATAGGCAGTCCTTGGGAGTTTGAAACTGTTCTAGTATTGCTTGTGCTAGCTGAGTGTGTGGCTGAGCCTTGGTTTCCTCCCTGTAAAGTACTGGATTAGAAAACATGACCTTTGTTGCCTCCCAGCCTTCAGTCCCCTCTTACTGTTCTTGCTCCTCCCACTATCCATACCACTATCTACTATTTATTGAACACCAATTGCTAGATACTGTATGAAGCAAGTTACAGATAGTGATCATGTAATCGTTGCAATAATTCTGGACTACTATTCCAGTTTTAAAGATGAGAAAACTTAAGGCCAGATGTTGCTCAAGGTCAAATAGCGAAGTATATACAGAATTTGTATTAAAAAACAGGTTTTTAAAAGATTTTGAAAGTCTATTCTCCTCACCACTGTGCCACACAAAATATGAATGG